CGCCACGAACCGTGGTGCGAGGCCACTCGTTATGCTAGCAGAGCAATCGTATAGCAGCATCGTTAATTAAGAAGATAGCGGATCGTTATACATATGTCGTCCACTTTAATTGCAGATGGACAACAACCGTATTTGCACTATCCAAGGCTCGCCTTTCGATAAAATGCCGAGACTTCGGGTTCTCAGCTTGAGAAGTAATCGAATGGCTTCCGTTTCGGAAGCGGCCTTCAAAAGATTGAGATCGAATATCGCTGTCTTAGATATCGATGGTAGTTCACTTTCTTTCTCTCTCTTATTATTTCATGCACTCGTCACTAATTTTTTTTTCTTTTGTGAGAGAATAATTTTATTCGTGATATCAGGTAATCCACTCTCGTGTTCCTGCGGAATGTTATGGTTAAGAGGATGGTTACAGCAAGCTTCCTCCGAGGGTCCAAGATGCGCGGATGGATCTTTATTCAAAGAATTAGATTAGCACGTCAGGATTGTCAACGCGAAAGACAGATCGATCCGATTCATCCTGGCTGTGAGGCGGAAATGATCGACGTTGCACCGTATCCTGTCTCCTCTTCTAGTAAGTAACTCGATCGTTAAATTATCGATATTTTCTTTTATCGACAACACGTTTCCCGAATATTTCATTAGTATTTGGAGCAACCGAGATGGTACCGTTAAGGATGAATTTAAAGGAGACTTCGACAAGGAATCCTCCTAATATTCAAGATAATGATTATTTCTACGAGTATCCTGATTATCAAGATAATAAAAATGACACATCAAACGTAACATTCACATCTACTCAATTTATAACCACTGTACCAACGAACAATGAGAAAATCGTTCAAACGACAGAGAAGATTTCAACTACTACGACTACCTATAATAATACCATTCCTATAAAAAAAATTACCTCGATGCCTCCCTCCCCTAGCAGCTCTGGTTTTACATTCTTCGGGGTACCTTTGCCTAGTCTTAACTTCAATCTTTGGGGAAATTCAAGAAGAAAATTCGAGAGGAAAGATTCTTCGGGAAGGCCCGAAAGAGGTCGTTACAGAACGTTTCCGCCTACAGAACCAGAAATTCACAGAGGAGGTTTTACACCATTACCGCGAGGACAAGGTGGATTTGTGCCTATAGTTGATCCCAGATTAACATACGAGAGACAGATTAGAAATGAAACCTCGAAGAATTCGAACGCTACGCAAGAGGAACGGAAACGGTGGAAGAGTGGAAATGGGACAATCGCAAAAGTTGAAAGAACTTATCTAAGAACAAACAAGTCTAAAGCAGGGGCCAAAGAAGGGAAGAATTATCCACGGTATCTGTTAATGAACCTGATTTTCATTGGCAAATAAATGGCGTGAAAAAAATTAGGTAAACTTAGATTGATCAGATAGAAATGCATACATAGAAAAATAATAATTTTTTATCTATCTGTTTTATCTATCTTTTTCTAGTTCTGTCACAAATTCAACAAAGGATTTGAGCACTGCATCAGATGAACCGCACCACGAAACAAATGGAACTTCTATTGAAGCTTATAATGGAGAAAATCTGGAAATGAGTAAGAAAGCGATTAAAAACGAAGAAAAATTGCAGGTGGAAGTCGCGAGTAGAATCGTTTGGACCACACCGAAAATTATCTTGGAAACGATGAAAGATGTTTTATCCAAAGAAACATCGACAGAGATATTAAAAGGGGAAAAACACATATACTGGGATACCGAGGCAAATGAATTTCAAGAAACGTCCAGTCTCGCGACAAACGTTCGAAACGAATCAATTGGTAAAATTGTACTTTTTATCATAATAACTTTTTATATAATTTCAAACAAATAATATTTTAATATCGATCATGTAGATGATTCGAATGCTGTTATAACAGAACGTTCAACTTTTCGTTCAACATTTTCGGAAAATCGGAAGAATTCCACATCTCAAGCTTCTCGAGAAACGGAAGCATCACCGCTTTCAGCGTTTTTAGTCCCAGGAGGTCAAATACCCTCATTGGTCCAAAATTTGCGTCCATTAGGTAGACCAACAATAACAAAAGTTCCATCACCACGAATTGGTCTCATTGCTGAACCGGAGAAACAGAAATCTATGGCTGAAGCTGTTCAACGAAATTTGGAAAATGATGAGGAAAAACCATTCGGAATAGATGGATCTTCCAACGAGAATGCTGAAGTTCTTGAAGACAATTCATTTAATTGGTATTTTCAACATTATAACGATACTAATTTAGAACCTTTTGTTGGTGTAGCATATAGTGGAGGTGAAAAGACAAGTGTGGCTCGATGGACTTTATTAAGTCAAATATATCTTATTTTATACATTTTCATATAAAAACATGAAAGATTAAATATTTTCAGTAATTAATTTATTAAATAATTCATGTTTGATGTTTTCTTAATTGCGCGTAATATGATTGATCTGAATGGTGAAAACAAAATGAAGAAAATTCAAGTGTTATGAGACTATGTTAAATGCTTTGATAATGAAAAATATTTATATTATCGTTTATTTGAGATTACATCTTAAACAGGTATCTGCACTATAAAAACTTATTTTTAGATTAAAATTTCATGTTCATGTGGCTCGTCATCAAATGTGTGAATTTTTATGATACAAAGAAATGCATAATTGATTGACATTGTGCATCTCTTGATGACTATATTATAGAGTTCTTGTATATTCATGAAAAATAAATAAAATTATAAGCTTAAATTGATCGATTTTCGTTTATTAGTAACGTAATGTAATGGTTAAGAATGCTTAAATTCTCTAGAAAACATGTTCATAATACCTAAGAACTGTATATTATAAGAATCTTATCTGCTATTTTCAGATAATATAGAAAATTTCGATACATTCAAATGTTATCGCTAATGACAATTGAATGATATTGGTTTTTATGAAAAAATCACGAAATTTTTCATCCATTAATACATTATATAAAAGTTAGAGGTAATTTGAAGCAGTTGCTCATTCCTAGGAAAAAAAGATTATCTGTGAACACAGTTATTATGTTATACATCTCATAAACGTTTAATATTAACATTCTTAATAATTGTGCAAAATTATTAAATATTTATAATAATTTGTGTTTGCTATAAATCATGGAAATGTGTAACTGCATCTCTACCGTTATATCTTTTATTTAATGTATGTGTGATAGAACACTTTAAGAACATTCGTCATTTGTTTTATTTTGGTGTTAATTTGAAATACCAATTGTTTGTAAGCACAAAATACATTTGTACATGTATAAACAAACTTTGCAATTGTGAACTTCTGTAATGTTAACAGTCTCAATCACACAAATTAGTTTCAGTTTCACTTTATTCACTGACTTTTATTTTTTATTTTATCTTTCTCATCTTTTTTTTCTTCTTCTTTCTTCTCATCCTTTTTTGTTCCTTTTTATCTGTTCTTTTTTCTCAGCGTCACGATTAGTTAATTTATTATTGATTAAATTGTGTAATGCCACTATAGATCTAACAAGAGCAGCAAGATATACAACTAACATTTGATCATTTGTTTTCACATAAAGTGAATCGACAAAGCTAGTTTGTGTCATATCAGGGAGTAAGTTAAAAATGTCTTGTAGCTGATAAACAATTTGATGATTAATAGGCAATTTACCACTACCAACTTGCAACAAATAATCTCTAATTTCTCTAATTTGTTCATGAAGGCCTTTCAAACCTAATAATTGATTTGTAATTCTTTGACTAAGGGTACCAACTGTGGTATCCTTAATATCTCTTAATAAATGTTCTACACCTACTTCCTCTGCTTCCTCTGCACCAATTTCACTAGGAATGTGTTCAAAGGTCTTAGATGTTGGAGAGCCATCCTGTAATAATTTTATTTATTAATTATTATAATGATTATGATATAAACACATCAAATACATCAAATATATATGAAACTTACATCATGAACTTCTTCAACAGCTTGATATGCTTCTGTTGGAAGACCAAGATCTTTGGGTTTAGCGTCAATGATGACCAAAACGGAATTAGGGCAATATCTTCTGATTAATTCATTAATTGCAACATCATTTTGATGTAATTTAGGCCCGGTATGATACCAGCCTACTACCTTTTCACGAGCTATGATATAACGAATGAAAAAAATATAAAATTCAAATTTTTGATTGCTTTCAAATTCATATGCATATAAATAAATGCATACCATTAACTTTCTTGAACATTCCATACATATTTTCAAGATAATCATGATCAAGGAACCACACACTTTTGTCCTTATCATCTTCATCAAAAGGAACTATAAATAAAAATAATCATATTTAATTTTACAACAAAAATAATTTTATTTTATTCGTAAAAATTATTAGAAAACCAATAAATTAATAAAGGAACAATAAATTTATGATCGAAATCTATAAAAATCAAAAGGAAATGATGAATATTAGTAGTGTCATTCTAACCTGCAAAACTATTTGACACGTCCAGCACGCCTTTCGCCCTCCAACATCCCAAAAGAACACCAACAACTCTTTTTTGATTACCAATTTTTCCCATACGATTAAAGTGATCCACTACACTTAATAAAACTAAAGGATGCACCACAACTTTCGTTGTTACAACCTCTTGACTCGGCATTTTTGAGCAATTCCTTTGACTTTCGTGAATGTAGCCACATCTAAAGTTATTCACTGGATCATTCATAAAAGACCCTTCTACATAAAGTAAATAATATAAATGCCGTTTCCAAGAAAATATATAATTTATATCATGTTAAAAATTAAATTGCAAAGGTATCTCTAAAAAGTAAAAATATTATAATATTTAAAAAAATAATTGAATTCAAAATTCAGAAATAACTTTTTTTTAAGATTATTTAAAAAATATTTATATTTAATTTTTATATAATTTTTTTCAATTTGTATCAGTGAAATAAAATAAAAAATAAAGCTTTTACAAGATTAGAATAAATCTTTTTTAAATTATAAATATATTTTTATTTGGGATAAAAAATTACAGTTAGCAACACTGTCGAGAAAACATGCTGTTTCACATGCTTCGATTCGATTACTAAATATTGAAAAATACTTTTTATTCGAGTGTATAGAAATTGTTTAACAAGGTGCAACAAATATAATATTCATAAAATACATCTTTAATCATATCCTTTAATAAAAGTTTTATTTAATTTAATTGAAAAGATAACCAACGCATTTCACATTTTCTCCTTATAGCAGGTATACATATCTATAGGCATATCATAGGCATGTCTACCAACCAATCGAATAAAAAAGGCGCGAAGTTTTATATTTCAAATTTTTTTACAGAATGTCGAAACCAATAGTTTTTGTAACTGGAAATGTAAAGAAATTAGAAGAATTTGTGGCTATTCTGGGAACAAATTTTCCATTAGAAATTATAAGCAAGAAGATTGATCTTCCAGAATATCAAGGAGAAATAGATGATATTTGCAAAAACAAATGTCGAGCAGCAGCTGATTTAATAAAAGGTCCCGTTATTATTGAAGATACTTGCTTATGCTTTAATGCAATGAACGGTTTACCTGGTCCTTATATTAAGTGGTTTTTAGACAAATTAGGACCAGAAGGATTATACCAAATGCTTAATGGATGGGAAGATAAAACTGCTGAAGCAGTTTGTACTTTTGCTTATTGTTCAGGAAAATTGGAAGATCCAGTTTTACTGTTTCAAGGTAGAACGCAAGGAAGTATCGTGAGTCCTCGAGGTCCACGAGATTTTGGTTGGGATTCATGTTTTCAACCTTTGGACAGTGATAAAACTTACGCAGAATTACCGAAAGAAGTTAAGAATAAAATTTCTCATCGTAGTAAAGCACTGGAGAAATTAAAAGAATATTTTTTGAAAAACGTTGAACAATAAATCAATAAATTATATTTTTTGAAAATACAATATTTATTTATTTTTATGATTCCTATAAATAATTTAATAATTATATTTGCAAATTATCATAATTGAAAATATATCAATTGTTTCTTAATAGAGAATTGTTTACTATTTATTTAAGTATATATATATATATTATTTTTTTTTTAATGAATGATTATATATCATCGAAACACGGAATTTTATTAGTAGTTTTATCAAAGATGATTTAGCATTTAAAATACATTTTGGCTGAAGTGGTGATAGCCGATAGATTTCGTTATTAAAGAATTTTTTAAGTTAACGGTAAACAGCAAGAAAATAATTTAAAAACTGATTCCGACAATCAACATTCCACAAATTATAAATACTGACGATATATTTATCTAAATGCTTGTAAAATGATGCAATCATTTTTAGTATTGTATTTGTATTGTGTTATATTATTTTATCGGTAAAAATTTAAGTTTTCGATCTTTTAAATTCTATAAATAGATACAAAGAAGGGGAAGTCTTTATTTTATAATACCATTAATTTCTGCTCATCGACTTAAATGGTATAACGTAATCATTGCAATTATATTGTTGATTGTCATGTGCGACGGTAAACACGCAATCGAATTTTATTTGTTGTTTTTTTAAACATTATTGATAAAGTCAATTATACTTATTAATCAACAATATTGTAATTTACATGTATAAAAAAAATAATCTCAAGGAAAATTCCAATCAATTTCCTATCATAATAAAATAAATGATTTCAATCAATTTTTCAATCAATGATATTCCGTATGAACATAAAAACTTTTACGATATATGATAATTGCAATAAAATCTGTATGCAGGATGAGTCAAATAAAGAGTAACAAGTATTTTTTTTTTATTCATAACTGTTATTTATAAATATTACATAGCTGTTTGATTTATAGACATTATAATTAAATATAACTTTGATGAGAGTTATCAAGATAAAAAAAATATTAATGACATTTTAATAAAAAAAAAAAAAAAGAAAGAAAAGAACAATAAAATCACACTTCTCTTCCCTAAACAATTATTGTACAATTATAATTAATCTCTTCGTTAATTTAATTAAAATAAAAGGCAAAAGATGCTTACATGTTTATTTTTAAAGAATTGGATTTTAAAATTTTTAACCCGATTCCTATATGCAACTTTATTTATAAATAAAATAGAAATATCTAAATATCCATTGCAATATATGACATTTTATTGGCGCGTAGAATAAAAAAAGAAGGAAGATTTTTAACATATAGAGATATATACGATCAAATACAAAAAGTACGAGTCAAGTTAAACTTGATTTTGATAATTTTTAAAAAATTATTCACGTAGTAATGTAACTTGTGATGGTGCACGAACGGGTTATCTTCCTCATTGATTACACCGGCATAGCCAGTTCGCAACACCCTTTCAAGAGGGGTTATCATTTTATTTGCATTTTCTTATTCTACCAGGATTTACAGATTTTTCGCCATATAAAAGGAGAATGCAGCACAGCAGCGTTAGTAGTCTTCTTACAAGGGTTACACTATAATGAATACCCTAATCGGTAAGTAACAAAAAAGGAAGAAAAAAAATTTCCTGTAATTTTATTTCTATTTTCAAAAACATTATTAATAATTTAAAATGACATATACATTCTTTAATTCTTTTAGTATTATTGGGGATCCTAACTACGGTGATTGCCGTTCCGGGTAAGTTAATAAAATAAATAACTTCTCAGATAACGAAATCGAGAACTTGAAGTGAATTCTGTATAAATAATTGAATCGTAGAAAAAATTTTTTATCTAATATTATTGCAGCTCCTTTTCCACATGGAAAACTTGTAACTTACAAATACATCGCTGATGCGAAGGCTGGTGTCATCGAGCCATCTTTATTCGCATCCAACTATGGCATCGAATGTTTACTTAACGTGCAACATGTCACCGACTCAATCTTGAAGAATACTTATTATGTTAATTTGACCAATATGAAATATAGATTATACAATGGATTTATGAAACATTACGAATCGCATTCTGTTACGGAATCGATCCCCGACGTAGCCAACGCGATTCTGAATCCTTTCCTCATCGTTTATGACGAAAATGGACACGTAAGAAGATAAAATTGAATGGAAACCGTGAGAATTTTTAACTTATTATCTTTATTCCTATCTTTATTCTAGCTTAAAGGTGTAAAATTTATGGAAAATGAGCCGGGATGGTCGAAAAACATGAAAAAGGGTATCGTCTCTATGCTTCAATTGGACATGACTAATATTCGAGTTCAAACCCCAATAAAATCACACAGTTTCATAACTCACGAGGTAGGTAACGACTGATGGGAACATGATCTGAGATTTTTCGTTAATGTTCTCTTTGGTTGTTACCACTAGGACACCATTCACGGTACTTGCCAAGTAGCTTATAATGTTCATCCATTGGACCATGTAGGATCTAACAAAGAATTCGTCGTTACGAAGATTCACGAATCGAAGAATTGTACTCGTTTTACTTACCGGGAGATGAGCTATTTTGATTCCGAGCAATGTCATGTGGATGAATGGGTATTTAAAAAAAAAAAAGAAAAGAAAAGATTTTTTTTTTTACTTCTTTCTTGAAATAGTAAAGATAAAAACAATTTAAATCCAATATTATTTGTTCTTTTAATCTTATACAGGATGACATGAACACTGCTAGTAGACGCATTTTCGTGATAGAAAATCAAGACAACGAAGTTCTTATAAAAAAATTAATTGGTCATGGAACGATCAACTATATACCGTGGGTGGCTGAATCAGACACGCATTATCTTCTGACCAAGTAATCTCCAAAACGAATAAATATAAATATATATATATATATAGATTCGAAATATCATAATTTTATTTTAGAATAATATCCGTTTTTGCAGCCAAACGTTGCATCTCAAAGACGTTGTTTCTGTATCCGAGCCACACTTATCGGACATCGTACGATTAAATCCTTCAATTATCGAAAATGTTATCTACGATGAATCTACGACTTCGAACGTTCCTCAAGCTGACATAGACATAACTCATGGTCGACACACCATCAAACTCGATGATTTTATTATAAAATTGAGAAAGATGTTGAACGAGGTTGCTGGTTATCTCAAAGAGAGCCAAATCGACAAGAAACAATCGGATTGGAAACATGATCAAACGATCAACAGGATTTTATACGTTATGAGTTTCATGGATGTCGCATCATTGGAACAAGTGTACAGCGAGATTCAAAATGATAAAGATGCGAACGGATCTGTGAAGAGGTATGCATATCTTGTCGACTAATGAAAAAAATAATGCGATTAATGCGTATCTTGAGATAAATTCTTTTCAATTCTGTTCTTTTAGAAACATTTTCCTTGGAATATTGTCAAATGTGGGAACCCCAGCTGCCTGCTTTTTCACGCGAAACGTAGTCCGCACAAAGAGCGTTCCAAAATGGAATGCAATTACGATGCTTGGAAATCTTCCGATGCATGTAAAAGTTCCTTCGAAAAAACTGCTTGTGCAGATGGAAGAACTTCTTAACTTGGACGATTCTGTTTCTATGGAAGTTAAGGAGGCGAGCATATTCTGTTTTGCTACATTGATTCGTAAAACCTTTGAGCACGAGGAGACTGGAACCATAGATCCTCTTTTGGATAAATACTTGCATCACTTCATGGAACATATTAGAAGTACAATGCAATTTCTATAATACCTCGCTCCTATCCTTACCCCATCGATTATTCTTCGATGTTTATTCGATGATAAATGTTGCAGACGAACCGACGCATCATATGAAGATGGTATACATGATGGCCATGAAAAACGTAAGATTAACTCAGATTCTGAAATTTTTGGAGCCTATCATCCGTGGTGACGAAGTTGTGTCTGATAAACCGCACAATGTTCGCGCGCAAACTATTTGGATCATGAAAAACGTAGTCTTCGAACATCCCGATTATTGTTATAACTTACTCTGGCCGGTTCTAACTGACGTTACCCTTCCAACAGCGGTTAGAATTGCCGCGTTTGATGTCTTGATGAACGAAACGCCTCAATTAGGACGGTTTATAAATGTTTACTGGTTGATGGTTTACGAGAAGGACGAACATCTCTATAATTATTACGTGGATACATTGAAAGGACTTGCTACCTCGGTAGATCCCTGTCTGATGCAGATTCGAGAAATGGCTAAGAAATTATTAAAGTTCGTTCAAACGAGGAACGTTACTGGTCCATTATCGCGCAAATTTTACGTCGATTACGTGGATAAAAAGTATGAATATAACGAAAGAGTGAAAGGTTCCTTAATTGTGGATCATACATCTGGTTTACCGTACGTTGGTTCGATCGAACATATCGCGTCTGTCAAAGCACGTAAACCTGTCACTAAACTAGGAGTGAGTATTGTATTATAAATTTTGTTATAAATATATTTAATCCTTGTAATATCATCTAACTATATTTCTATACTATAGATCCATTGGAATATAGATGGTTTGAGCGAGATCGTTAAGGATATCGATGAAAACGTGTTCGGCAATGTCGTACAAGCGATCAAAAATGACAATGTGAAAAATGTATTAATTTCAGCAGCCAAGATTATGCCGAAAATTAAAGATATTAACGTTAATGTCATTTTAACAATGAACAACAATGTTGTTTCGATATTCCATTGCACCAAGAATAATTGGCAGAAAATTCTCAATGAATTGAAACAATGGAAAAAATTGATTACTGAATACATGGATGTTGTTAACTGGCAGACTGTTTTATATCACGATCATTATGAAATGCATATACCTACTGATCTTGGTGTACCAGCTATTTTGGCAACGAAAGTACCTTCTTTATTCTCTCTCGTAGGAAGCTTTGAAGTCTCTGAAGATAAAAATCTTTTAATCTTGAAACCAAAAATTAAATATCAGCAATGGATGCACGGCGAACACATAATGTCAATTTATAATCCTGTTGTTGATGTCTGGCACTCTGTTCATAGGACA